AAAAAATATCATTTAACCTATGTGTAAGAGTATGGTAATTTGAATTTAACCGAATCCAATTTGATCCAATCATAAATAATATCAACATAATTTAACCAAATAAATACACTGTGTGTGAACAGTACATAAACTCTTTAAGAGAAATGTTAAAAAGACAGTGGATTAGAAAATGAAAAAGTAAGTACCTTGCATCTAGTTATTTTCTACATTGTCTCTGACATCCATTGATCCTTGAAGTAGAACATCTTGATATGGCTTAACCTACTCTCATCAACCAGCCACAAAATCTTATCCTCCCAGGCAAAATCCAAGATGCATGAATAATTTATTCCAATGATTGAGCTAAAAAAATTCACAACAAATTCGAAAGCCCGTTTTATATAATTAAAAACGATGAAATGGTTTAGTGAGTCTGGAACTTGTGCCCGTGTCCAGATCCAACCACTAGCCACTTGGCCAAGTGGATGGATCATTTCTATCTTCCCAAGTTATTTGCAATTATGTTCTGCAAAATCACGTTAGTTCCAATTCACCTAGCTAAAGTATGATGATGTCTTTTTCTAAATCCAAAATACGTATCAATCAATGGGCTCTCGTGACATAACCCAATTATGGACTGGGCCAATAGGAATTGCTCACTTACAATCATTTTTTCCAATAATAGGAGTATATGGGAACTTACGTCAAACCACGTAATTGTGTTAAATTAAATCTAATAGCTCGACTACCACGACAAGACAAGAAAATTTAAAAACCAATTATAAAAATACTTATACTTAACCCATACATTAAACACTAACATATCAGGCCAAGTAACGCGGTTGTGTATTTGAGCTTCACAATGCAAAGTGCAGGCGTAAGCAACAGAGCTGAATATAACCAAAAAATTTCTTTTGCAAATTTTAATTTTACCCAACGAATATCATACAGGTGTGCAACATATGAAACATCATGTCGTATCACGTTTTCCAGTTTTACTTCGTTTTGTTTCTTTCTTAATTATTAAGTGGAATTTTGTGGGCGTGGATCCAACGTGGCGACCCCATCCAATGTCAAAAAAGCAAGTTGGACCAACCAGCCAAAGATATTTTTGTTTTTGTTTTTTTTTTAAGAGATATTATATTATTTAAGACAGTTAACAATATGTAAAGAGAGGATGATGTTCGTTTGTTTGAGAGAGTGATAAGGAAGATGTTAACAATGGTTTCCAATCTATGTCACACTACATCCTTTCCTATAAATACCAAATCCCGATCTCTTTCAACTCATCCAATCACTATTCTTTCTGGTATTCATCTAAGATCGCCAAATAAGAAGCAACTCCCAACTTCTGGTATAGACCCTCATCATCATCATCTTAATATTGTCTTTTTTGTTCCGTTTTATTTATCCAGTCGTTTTTTTATGTTGCTAACGGCAATGGTTTCCATCTCCATGTTTTCGAATTCGCAGACATTTTTTTAATCGAGTGTTTCCAGTGGTGTCATTCAAGGTAGTGATTAATAAAACCCCTAAATTCAACATTTCATTTCAGTTCCATTGCACAGATGAATAATTGGTTTGATTTAATTGCAGAGGAGCGTAGAGGGAGCTGAAGAGATGACGATAAAACCTGTTGTTCGCGTTTCGGAGGGGAAGCTGGTGGTGAAGGAGCGAACGATTCTGACAGGAATACAGGAGAACGTGGTGGAGACATCCACGGTAGAAGGAATGTTTCTGGGAGTGGATATGGAGAAGGAAGATAGCAGACACGTGGTTTCGTTGGGAACCTTGAGGGATGTGAGGTTCATGGCGTGCTTCCGGTTCAAGCTGTGGTGGATGGCGCAGAAAATGGGGGACAGAGGGGGCGAAATTCCTTTGGAGACTCAGTTTCTATTGGTGGAAACCAAAGACGGGTCCCACCTCGAATCGGAAAGCGACGCCAACAGCCAGAATCAGATCGTGTACACAGTTTTTCTCCCTCTTGTAGAAGGCTCCTTCAGAGCGTGTCTACAGGGGAATTCCAACGATCACCTTCAACTATGCCTCGAGAGTGGTGATGCAGACACCAAAGCGTCGTCGTTTAGCCATGCAATCTTCATTAGCGCCGGCACCGATCCCTTCGCCACCATTCATCATGCTTTCCGTGCCGTCAGGAACCACCTCAACACCTTCCGCCTCCGCCACGAGAAGAAGCTCCCCGGCATCGTGGACTGCTTCGGCTGGTGCACCTGGGACGCGTTCTACCAGCAAGTTACTCAGGAAGGAGTGGAGACCGGAATCCAATCACTCCGAAGCGGTGGCACGCCGCCGAAGTTCGTCATCATCGACGACGGTTGGCAGTCTGTCGGCGGCGACGACGACGACGACAAGGTGAAAGAAAACTCGAACTCGTTGCAGAGGCTGACGGGGATAAAAGAGAACGCGAAATTTCAAAAGGAGGAGGAACCGGGGTTAGGGATTAAGAACATCGTGGACATAGCGAAGAAGAAGCTCGAGGTGAAGCATGTGTATGTGTGGCACGCAATCACGGGTTACTGGGGCGGGGTTCGTCCAGGGGTGAAGGAGATGGAAGAGTACGGTTCGGTGATGAAGTACCCGAATGTGTCGAGCGGAGTGAAGGAGAACGAGCCGACGTGGAAAAGCGACGTGCTGGCGGTTCAGGGTTTGGGACTTGTGAACCCTAAGAAGGTATTCACGTTTTACGACGAGTTGCACAATTATCTGGCGTCCGCGGGTGTAGACGGCGTTAAGGTGGATGTGCAGTGCATTTTGGAGACTCTGGGTGCGGGTCTTGGGGGAAGAGTGGAACTGACCAGACAATTCCATCAGGCACTGGACGCTTCGATTTCTAGAAACTTCCATGACAACGGGTGTATCGCCTGCATGAGCCACAATACGGACGCGCTCTACTGCTCCAAACAGACGGCGGTGGTGAGGGCTTCCGATGATTTCTACCCGCGTGATCCGGTGTCGCACACTATCCACATTGCGTCAGTGGCGTACAATAGCGTCTTCCTCGGGGAGATCATGTTACCCGATTGGGATATGTTTCATTCGCTTCATCCTGCCGCGGAGTACCACGCCTCCGCCAGGGCCATCAGCGGTGGGCCGCTCTATGTGAGCGACGCGCCGGGGAAGCATGATTTTGATCTGCTTAAGAAGATGGTTCTGCCCGATGGATCGGTGCTTCGGGCCCGTCTTCCCGGGAGGCCCACTAAAGACTGCTTGTTCAGTGACCCGGCCCGTGACGGAGTTAGTTTATTGAAAATATGGAACATGAACCAGTTCGGAGGGGTGTTGGGAGTTTACAACTGCCAAGGGGCTGCGTGGAGTGCGGCTGAGAGGAAGAATGCGTTTCATGACACGGGTTCTGCTGCCATCACTGGGTTTGTGAGAGGTGGTGATGTGCATCTGATTGCGGAGGCTGCCGGTGATGGCGATTGGAACGGTGATTGCGCGTTGTACGCTCACCACTCTGGGCAGCTCACCGTGCTTCCGCGCAATGTGGCTCTGCCGGTGTCCCTTAAGGTGTTGGAACACGAGGTGTTTGCTGTTGCGCCTGTGAAGGTTTTGGGTCATGGTTACAGCTTTTCCCCTCTTGGACTTTTGAACATGTTCAATGCTGGTGGTGCCGTTGAAGGGCTGGTGTATGAAGTGGGGGATAGCCAATCGTTGGTTCGTATGGAGATGAAAGGGTGTGGGAAGTTCGGGGCTTATTCGTCGGCAAGACCAACTAGGTGTCTGCTGCAAAACGACGAGGTTGATTTCAATCACGATTCCCATTCTGGCTTGCTAACGTTCAACATAGATCATATGCCGTCAGAGGGACACAGGGTTCACGTGGTTGAGTTAGTTTATAGTCTATCTAGTTAGTTAGTTAGTTATTGCGTTATACCTCATTGGATTTGAATCAGAGGGAAAAGGGACAAGACAATGGGTATGTTGTGGTATTTCCTTAGAGTAGAGGGTCTTGAAAATTTTCCCTCTGTACTAGATTTAACGTTTATTATACCAGCCAGCTACTTGTGTTTTGAAATTTGACTGCAAAATGGATACATGTTTCTACAATTTTTTTCTTTCGTTTTAGAGTTATTTAAACACGTTTCAATCTTTTGTTGCTTAAAATTGGCCCGTCCTTACAATTCTAGCAGCCGCTAGTGCCCTGCACAAATTGGCTCCTCGCACAATAATATAAAATATAAATATTATTGAAAATAATAAATTGCTATACGTATGCTTAACATAACCAAAACCGAATTGAACCAAGTCTGTGCACTTGCTTTCCAAAATTGTGGCGAGTCACATTCTCTTCTTGAGATTGAAGTTCGCTTTGCCATTGCAGAGATCGTTTTTTCAGATGATTTAAGATGTAGGGAATTTTCTTGCCACCATTTCGTTACCAGCGTTTTTATTACCTGTTTCTATCGTGGTTTTCTGCCTCATGAAGAAGCTATCAAATGACCTTTCTGTGTGTGCCTTTAACTGGCACTTCTTTGTTTATTACTAATTTGAACAGGATTTGCATATGTGCGTTCAAGACAAAACACTTTATCAGAAGAGTTTCCTCCAAGTAAAAGGTCATTTATGCCAAAACCAGTTCCTGAGCCCATGCTTGTTTGTTTATTCGACGGATCATATTTTGCACAATCCATATAGGCAACGTTCGGATATTTAATTTAAATAAATCAATCAAATAAAAAAGTATTCCTACTATTCGGACATTTCATAATTAAGTAACTTGGCAGGTTCTTGGAAACCAATATTCACAATATCATCAACTTCTTGGAAGCCAAAGATAGCCTCCATCTTCACGCACCAATCGTCATATCCTTGCCTATCAAACACAGGAAGATTCCCTGGTATGGCACCCGTTGTAGCCATATCTGCACTCACAGTAATGCACTTTTACTCTTCCTCACGCAGGTTTAGAACTTCGCTCTCAATACAAAAAAACTGTTGGGCTTAAGATAAAAACCATTCGCATACACACACACCTTATGCAGAGAAGACAGGATTCAGAGAGAAACAAAAGTTACTGTCATACATAAAAAACTGAAAAACTGCATTACATGAAAATAAAAGTCTGTAATAAAAATTGTCTAAAGGACAAAAGACAGTTAAAACTGTCAATGAAACAATACATAAACTTTGATTACTTTTAATAGTCTTCAATCTTGGTTAGAATCTCCATTATGTGGATGATGATCTAGAAGTAATTGCTCCAGTTCCTTCTCATATTCATCGTCCTCCCCCAATCCTGTTTGTTTATAAAATGCTTGTTTCTGGGCATACCAGTCATTAGCAACCTTCTCTACTACATCTCCAATCAGTTGCTTATCTTCTTGTATGTGCTTTATGTTTTCAACGTCTAAAATACCGCTTGCCTCTAATGAAAAATGAGGACATAGAATTAGATAATTGACAACATTAATGATCATGTGTTGGCAAATTGAAACAGCCAGACAATAAAAACCAAAACATCCCCACCCTCCCCTTAAGGTCAAGAATTCCAGAAGTTCTGAGGACAGCATTTTGTCCTTCCTTGTATAAAAAAAGGGAAGCAATTCACAATTTGGAAAACCGTGAACCCCCAATCATATAAGTTGTCATTCTTCAAAAGAAATACGCTCAAAATATGACTGCACTTAAAATAGGAAGACAAGATCTTTCTAGTTTTAAAAATCAGAAAAACCAACAGCGTAACAAGTCACAGAAAAAAGGAAAAAGAAAAGTCATGATACGTGTTTCTTCTAGGTTGCCTGCAGTAGTTTTTTAGGATGACAGGAAAAAGGAAAAAACAAAAACTTGCTTTGCACCAGCAACCACTCCAAAAAAAGAAAAGTATTTTAACAGGCAAGCACCTTGAATGGCCACATTCTTGGCCGCAGCATATCCCAATGACTTGTTCTTAAGCAAATTGAGTTCAACTTCCACGCCCTGGCATGTGGAAAAGAGAAAGGGAGTTAAATGCAACAAAACCACAAACAATTAAAAATACAGTCTATAGTAGGAGTTTGCATGAAATACATCTCAAGACAGATTCATTAGCTTCTGAAATTATAAATATCACCCAGAGCCAGATGAAAGCAAGGATTGAATCGCATTTTTCACAAGTGTTTAATTTACAGAAGTTGCGAGGATCTTACAGGCCTTCCTTAATATTTAAAATAGGCAATATCAAGTGCCAAAACCCCTCAAAGTTGATAGGCACGAGATATAGGCCCCAAGCAGCCTCCCCCCGCGGAAAAAAAGAAGTAAACATGATAACTAGAAACATAAAATTAAGTAATACGTAAAATATTTTTTATTTGAGCCTTTAGGTGCTTCCAGAAAGCATGTTATAAATTACATAACAGCATCTCATGTTTATAATACCATCAGAGCCCTTGTAAATGGAAAAGATTAGTATACTTTTCACATAAACTTATCATTAAGAAATCTGACAGCAAACCAGTGTAATTAGCAAAATAAACAAATCATTTTGTAAGTGACAGAGCATTAAGGTGCTTACAAGGTCCATCTGAATATATTTATCAATTGAAGAGCTCTCAAATAACCTGCCATTCACAGTGAACAGATGAAAACAATAAGCTGTAGAGCAAACTTAATTATCATGGCAACATGTGAAGGAAAGAAGGATCTCGGATATAAATGTAATTTGGTGGTTTACTTTTCATATGCAACTTGAATACGGGCATTCTGTAATTGTTGGAGTTGGTTTACAGTCTCTGCAACACTGCCTTCAATCAAGTCGACAGAGCCAAAAAGGAAAACATTTCTTTCGAGCATTCTCTTTACTAGAGCAGGTACCACTTTAATATCATTGGCTTTGGCATCAGCAACAAGGATTCTAAGTTTCTTTAATTCCTCTGTATGAACACATAAATTTAGGTTTTCATGTGAACCATCATTACATTCGGACAAATATGAAGCATCAAAGTGGGATGAAACATAAAATGAAATTAAAAAACAAGATATTTTCAGTAATAACTACTCTAGTGACGCTATGAAGCAAGTTAGGAAATAACATTGCACAACACATTAAGAAAGATAAAAGTTTTCTTCTGTCATGCCTCATATTAACTATCTTCTGAAAAGCCAGTTTATGTAACATATGCATGTCTGGTGCCAAGCACTAAACAATAAGCGAGAAAATGTTTGGCCAATATATTATTTCACCACATTTGGAAGTACCAACACATGCAAAACACAAAACACGTATTTTCCAAACAGAAGTTGACAAGGAAAAAAAAAATCAGTCACTAAAGCACAACATTGTTGAGGTACAAATACTGTAATCGGGAATATCTAAGTTCTGTACGATGTAGGATGTTTCCCTGTGGAGGAAATGCAAGAGAAAAAGCATGTATTCAATTCTACCAACCTAGCTATTAGTGATTGGCATGTATATGCCATTGAAGTACCAACTCCTTTATACATCTTTTGAAAAATAATAAGACAACACCTCAAAGGATGAAGCATCTAATATTTGTTCATAACAATCTTTTCTCTCAAGAAACTCCTCAAGAAACAATGAAGAAACAACTAAATTCTGAGATATTGCAAGAGATGACTTTTCATTGGATGGATGATAATGAGATTTTTAAGATTGCTACGTTATCTCTTGATGAACTAGATATAGAATCTGTATTTTTTCAATTAAGATGACCAAACATGACATTTTACATAAATTTTTCTTTTGTTATTTTTATAACTGTTTCTATTGATTTTTAGGTCGGTAGTTTTTAATAGACTCATATATATATATATATATATAGATAGATAGCCCATGTCCTATATTTTTTAATTTAGTCGAATCTTTGTATATGTATCTTTGTCATATTTGTGTTCGTGTCTATGTGTCCATGCTTCTTAGAAGTGTTCCATGATTCTAATTGAAGTTTTTCCCTTTTTTTCCTTTATGCATTATTTTTTTTAATACAAAATTGTTTCTTTTTTGTAAGACTTTCTCTAACTATTTTACCCTGTGCCAATATGAACAATTATATGCATTATTCTTACTTCCTTCATATTATTCTTCAGAAAATAAAGAATAATTTATTTGATGAACAAGACTCATTGTCCTTTTTAGGCTCATTACCCAAGTTAAACTGATTGACCTGTCTCTAGGTCTTCCTACAAATCAAGCCATGTAAACAAGTTTCAGGTTAGGTTAGGATTTGAAACCAGTAATTCTTAACCTTAAAAGAGATATATAATAGATAAGTATGCTAGTTGACACCTTGCTAGAAGCCCAACAACATCCTGACTCAGTTCGTGCCAATAATATTCTGATTGAGGTCGAATCCAGGACACCTCAGCCAAAGTCAAGCCAAGACCAACAACAAATTGTCTTGAGCAAACTATTTCTTAGGATGAACATTGATTTTGGATTTTTTTAAATTCAAAATACTGACTAATCCACATGCAATACAATTAATTAGATTGGATTTAAAACAGATACGTCAAAATAGACTTCAAGTGATTTGGGTTAGTATGATTTAGGATTGGATTTGAATAACTAAATTTTTTTGCACACCTGTTCTAGCTATAAAAACTAAATTTTAAACACATGAAAGAATATTTTTATTGTGTGATAATGGCACATTATGGATTGCAACTACTGAATCACAAATTAGTGAGGTGCGCCGATGGAGCACATACCCAAAGAGAAATATACAGGTACGGGGTTAAAAGGCTAAATTGATTCAAGGAAAAATCAAAATTAAAGCAATTATGAACAAAATGAATCTAGTTCCCTCCACACATCCAAACTATTTATAAGACGTAAGCATGACAATGCAAAAATTATCCAATAACTGTATAGTTAAACATAATTGTTTTATAAAAGTGGAAAATTGTTATACCAAGAGATAAGTAGACCTTAAAAGAAGGATTAAAGGGTTGAGTCTCGTAAAGACAGTAGAGGCAATAAAAGCCGCCTAATCTGTGTGATAAAGAAGCAGTACCAACAATGTAACCTGCATAGGAAGATGAAGGAGTTTTTATACTGAAATAAAGCTATAAAGACCAGTAAAATGAAACTTCAATGGCTATAATGGCACACTACATACTCATCAGATTCAGGTAAATTTTTAAAAATATTACAAGCTTTTCAGACTGGATCACTGCTTCTATAATTTTGGAAATATTTTTCAGCATGAATAAACCATTCAACATGCAAATTGCCCACAAAAAATAAATCTAAACTCAATTGAGTAATGATCAAACCTGCATATACCAGCTATACATTACCAATACAATGAGCATACAATGATTGCATAAAGAAGGCCAGGTTGGTAGAAGGACAAGCTTCATATATGTAGGAGAACTTCCTCGAAAGCCATACTCTTTTCATGTCAGCCAAAGTTGTTGACTCATTCTGTCAGTCACCAAAATTGAACATCAATAATAGATTGTTAATATCCAAACAATGGCAAGCACGCTCCTTGAACTAAAAATAAAGAATGAGGAAAATCACTGGACATATGTTATTGATACCTGAGTGAATTCACCAATAAGTTCATCAATGTCCAACTTGAAATAATCAATATCGATATTCATGATTAAGAACCCTAATTTGCACCTGAGAACTCGGTACAATCAAGTTGTCAAAGAAAAAATAAAATTTCACCTCGTAACAATAAAAAACAAGAAAAAAGGACATTAATCTAAAATGGATAATTCAAGATTTCTCTAGTGAAATCTGAAGAAAATAAAACCCAAGTCTTTTACCACAGAGTCATTTAACAAATAAGACCCATTCAATTTTATGTTCCTTATTTCTTCAAATGATTCACAGTAATGAATTCATGGAATTTTGATTCGGGAGTGATAACATCAGGACAAGGGGATAGATGGATGTAATATTTCAAATATGAATAAGAAAACTCAAACAGAGGAACAGAAGGATGACAATTGAATCAAAAACATACCTGCAATACACCGATGTACGTTTTCCAATCCTTGCTTAATACATGGGGGATAATCTAGATTTCATTTTATACAAAACCCAATCAAATATTTTAAACCACGACCTGACTAAGACTAACTGATTCAGTAGTTTGTACTGAGTGAGCATCTGTGGCCAGTCAGAGTTTATAGGTAGCTAGCAACGTCACCATACCTTCTCCCATTTCTTATTCGTCCAAACATAACCAATATAAACTGATATTATGTGGGTGTGGATCGAATGTGGCAGCCCCATCTGAAGACAGAGCCAAACCTAGAAGGTAGAGGGGACAAACAAAAAAAGTTTAAAATTAATCCTAGAAGTACAAAAGTATCAAAGTTTTAAAAAAAAAATCATAATTATGCGGTTTTCAAAACACTCAACATATATTACAAAATGCATTTACACAAAAAAACACATTATTTAGATTAAAGATTTCAATCATTGATTTTACATGCCACAGAACTTTTCATAAATTTATAATAAAAATTGGTACTTATGCTTGATCAATATGTGAATTTCAGTAAGACACACAGAAATACAACTTATAAGTGATAGCTACAGTGTACAAAAACGAACATACAAAGTTTCAGAAAATGTTCTACTCCAATGAATTTGTAGAACTTTCTTCTTATGCTACTAGACATCATATATCGGTTCAAGCTTTTCCCCGAACACCTGGCACTCGTCTTAACTAAGTGAACCATACCATTATTTGAAGTCATCTTAAACAATACCGATTGATTTCAAACATTTCAACGAGTCCTATTTTTATTTTATCCCAATATGACGAAACCTATAAACGTTTTATCATGAAGCTAAGTTTTTGAATAGGAAAATGACATTCACCTGAGTGCAAATGGCTACAACCGCATCAAGATCATCCCCGAAATCGTCCTCGTCCACCGAAAGCTTCTGAGAATAGTTCAGTTTGGAACTTTGACGGTCTCCTGCTATATATATATTCACTTAATATAAGGAAAATAATCACAGCAAATTGCATGCGCTAACTGATTCTGCAAATTCGGTGTCTGGGTTATGTGCTATAGTTGGATAAAAATGAGACCCGAGGGAAGAATTTTCTGGAAATGTGTTTATTTAGACAATAGTTTGAAAAAAAGAAGTTGAAAAAATCTTAAATACTCTGTAAAAATATTCTCGAAATGTAGATTTTAATTTCAGTTTTCTATAAGAAAAATTGTTTATTTAAAATTTAAAACTACCCTATTTTGATCCAAGCATTACAAATAATAAGCAATGTATTAAAAAAATTAAATAATAAATCAAAATGGACATATATTGTCTCAGAAGTTCTTTTATTCGTTTATACTATTAATAAAGAAATTCTATATTTTGATACAATTAATTTTTTTGATAAAAATAATCGTTTTTTAAAATTAAAATATTATTTTATCATTTTTATCTTTCAAATAATTATTTATTTAAATTTAATTAATTTTTAAACTAAAATATATATTTAAGTAAAGAAAATGAAAACAGGATTTTTTCTACTATTATTACTAAAATATCTTTCTTCCTCCACCTGATCACCGCCGCTATCATTATTATGTCACTCCCGTTATAAACTTTCTTTCCTGCACCCGATCCCCATCAAAATTTCTGGAAATAAAATCTGAAACAATGGAGTGCAGAAAGAAATTTGATGAGATGGAAGAAGAAACAGCCTATAAAGTATGGCCTGTAAACAAAAGGGGTATTACTCCCTTCACCACCACCACATTTTTTCCTTCCACCTCCCCAATTCTATTACATATTTTTTGAATTACAAAACTAACCTTTTATAATTACAAAAATAACCTTTATACTTTTTAATCCTAATTATTTACTTTAACCCTAAAATCTATATCTTTCTATCCCTTCTCACCCACCTTCCAACTTTCTCAGATTATCACCCAAATTCCACCATTCTCATCTTCCATTTTTCCTCCATATCAGTTTTCTTCCTCAAAAATACATTATTAAAATACATCAACATATATTCAAAAATAATATATCAAAAAATATAAATTATATTATTTAAATATCTTCAAAATCAATATTAAAAAAACTGTAAAATATAAATCGTAATCTTTAAACGGATGTGAGCATCCGTCGACGGATGTGAGCATCCGTCGACGGATGTCAACATCCGTTTAAGGAAAAAACGGATATCGACATCCGTTTTCCCTTAAACGGATGTTGACATCCGTTGACGGATGCTCACATCCGTTTAAAGATTATATGATTTATATTTTAGGGTTTTATTACGCACCTTGACGCCTCTGAACCAGCACCTTGAAGCACCACCACACTCAGATGAATTGCTTTCCCCACTTTCAATCTTACTAAACACAAAGCCCACCACATTCTCACGTCACAGTTCTATAAAAGAGAAGAAGAAGTGGAACATGAGAGACAACCCAAGGATAGTGGAACGTAAGAGATAATCTGGGAAAAATAATAAAAAAAAAGACGAAAGAATGATAAAGATAATGAATGTTCACGTGAGATTTTAAATAATATTAACCCTAAAATTTTAATAAGGATAAAATAGGAATGAAAAAATAAAGAAAAGAATAAAAGGAGAATGGGGTGGTGAAAAAAACAAGTTGTGGTGGTGGAGGGAGTAACACCCACAAAAGGGGAGTGTAATGGCCGGGTTAAAGTCCAGTTTGTGGTTAAATTAATCTCTTTTTGCTATTTCTTCCTGTAACCTGTCTATTTTCTTCTTGCACCGAAAATTTTATCCGTGAGTTCTTCCAGGAAATTGGGTGAGTCTATTTCAAAAACATATTTCTGAAATTGATTTAATGTTCCGAAAAATAAAATTCGAAATAGTGGGTATTGAAATTTTTTTGACATGATGCTGGAAGATACGATTTGAATGGGCTTTTCTCCTGTGTGGGTCTGGTCGTTTTCCACGTTGTGTTGTATATGGAACTATATTTACAATATTAAAAACATTGTTATATTCAAAATGTAATTATACCATATTCAAACTTTTCTTTTCCTCAAAAGAAGTTTTATAGTTTATCATTAATTTTTAAAAAATCAGTATGCTAGGTGACTCTAATTTACGTTGGGCCAGCTTGAGAATTAATTCTAATTCGAATAAATTTTTCAATAAACGCCTATTCCTAAGAAGAAGAAAAAGTACTATTAGATGATTTGGCCCTGTAAATCAGAATTACCAGAATTATATATTATATAAAGTATAAAAGCCTTCTAACAAATGTAAAATAAAACCATATATATTTTGAACTTACAAAATAATATGCATTTCATTTTATATCTTTATTTTCCTTTCTGAGAAATACTAATGAATTAACATTAAATCTATCCAAATTAAACCTTATTCAAAAAAATCATCAAGTCAAAATTATATCACAGCTTTACTTTTTCTGTCTCTAACCATGTGTTTGAATTATTATATTACATACTTATTTTCTGCATAATATCTACAAATAATAGTTGCAAAACACTGCTGCTTTTGATGACTAATTCAAAACAATAGTCATACGCAGAAAAACATTAACTTGATCCAAAAACCTCACCTGCAGTCACCAAGGTTCCCTAGTTCAATCGAGTGGTGCATTAGTTGTGCTGAAACAACACAGTTAGCCCGTCTTTGCTAATCTCTAATACCATCACGTAACATTATACATCAGCTTACAGTGACAATTTTCAAGTGGTCTTTTTCACTTTATATAAATGGCTTGGACGAACACACATGTTCAGAAAAGAAAAAGGCATGCTTGAGAAGGGAAATTGAATCCTAACTATACGAGAGGCATAAAACTAGCCCGGTCGAGAGCAAGTACAGCCCATGAATAGCAGTGATTGAATATTGAGTTAAATTATTACATCAACATATCTCACCTTGAGGAGGGCATCTGTTCTAGCATCTAATCCAGGGAAGTAAACTAGAATATAGGCATTCACGTCCAAATCTACACATTAAATGTCACCAACATAGCCTAACATATAACTAGGAACTACAAGTAAAATACAAGAACCTACCATCATAGAGAGTACAACCACCTAAATGAGAACGTGTAGGTTCATCAAATATCGTGATGCATGATGCGGTCTTTCTTTCACACCCTCTACGTAAACCAAAAATACATGAATAAAATCTAGAACTCCATTTTCACGAGCGCGTTGGAAGCTTCGGCTGCTCCATACTGCATCCAGTCTTTCGCACATACAATGGCCTCCACTGTCTCTGGCCGCAAGGAACTTCGATACTGATCCATCTCTTTCACTTTTGTATCAAAGACAGATTCTGGAGGAACGCTTGAGACCGGGACAGACAATATATCCCTGGCCATTTTTGAAAGCGTAGGGTACTTGAGTTTGTTTAGCTTCCACCAGCCCAAAACGTCAAAGTCCGGAACACGTGGCAACAGTGATTCTTCCAGATACTGGTCCAGTTCAGACTTCGTCTGATGGCTACTAGTTTCCATGATGTAGACATCAAAATCTGTTAATCCATTATCTGACAACAGAGTTCCTCCTGGAGACCCCTCTGTCTTCATATGGCTTCCAGCACCTCCTTCATCTGCATAAGCAGGGGTCAGTGGCAGGGGAAGGGTCACATACTCGTGGAACAGCTCATGAATCCCATCATCAACAATCTTGACATATACATGGGCATCCTCGCCATAGATTTTTGTGAAACTAAACTCAACAAGCTTCATCTTGAATCGAGGATCCATAACTACTGCAATTGCCAAAACCAGACTACAATCTTTCCAGTACTTGTCAATTTTATGCTGCATGGGTTTAGTAAGGTTGCTGATAAAAGGATCCTCATTCACAACAGCCCGAGACAGATCCAACTGCAATTTCCAAACTTCATGGAAAAAGGTGATAATAGTGGGATGAGTTGCCGTGGTAAGAATGTTTGCTGCATCAAAAAGGGGCTTTAAGTACGTGCAGATGGTCTCAACCAACTTCCAATCTTGCATTGATGGGGCTCCCTTGTAATCAGGATCAGAAGTGTCCAAACAAGAAAACACTTCCTTAAGTTCAGAAGCTGCCACCAGCATCTGATATGTAGTATTCCACTGGGTTTGGTCATCAATAAAAAGGTTCCTTTCACTGGGGACCTGAAGATGCTGCTTGAGCTCCAGGAATTTTTCCTCATGTGATTCTGAAGTCTTCACATATTTTACACTGTCTCTGATCTTTTTTACAACAAGATGCACGGAGCCTAATAGTTCATTTGCAACATTGCTGAAGGTTCGGGCAATGCAATTTCCTACCAGCAACTGACCATTGAGGATAAGTGGATTCTTTACAGAGAGTAATGGTCTGAGATTCCCAAGGGCAACTTCACTCGGAGTCTGATCACAAGTGATAGAAAACACCCTGCCCTCCAAATTCCAATCAGAAATGCAAACAGATATGGCATGGCTGAGAGCAGAATCAGAGTTAGGGTATGGCTCCATCACAACATTAAGAACTCTCCTCTGCAACTTCCAATCACTATCAACAAAATGTCCAGTTATAAACACATATCCTACAGACTGGCTTGAGGTCCAAACATCCAGTGTCAAACACAAACGTCCAGGTAATCCCTCAAAATACTTCATAACACACTGCTTTTCCATCAGGTACGTTGCGACACAATCTCCTTGAACTGTGTTAAATGTAACCATATTGAACTGGGGCTGCAGATTTTGGACAAATGCAACAAATCCCGGATGCTCAACCATGTGAAGGGGGTAATCATGCATAATGATCATCCTAGCAATCTCATGACGGCAACGATCTTGATCAAATATTATGTAAGGAGTATTAGGGGACCTATAGCGTCGCTTTGGTGCACTGCTAGCATTGCCAGCATCACTTCCCCTTGACCGTGGAGTATATGGACTGAACTGGTTATGATCTTGGCTACGCAAAAGAGCTGGGCATGTCCCCTTGGCAATGTGGCGTTTGAGGTGACTAGTACCAGCAACCTTTGAACCAGTACTGTAAGCAAAACTTTGCTTGCATTGCTTGCAGCATGCTCTTCTACATCCAGGACTGACTGTCTCTATGGTGAAGTGTTCCCAGACTATAGACTTCTTTTTTCTCCTCTT